AAAACTCATGTGTATTAATAGTGAAAGTGCTTCCTTGGTAGATTATGATACGAGAGTGTGTAATAAGTGTAGTTAAGTTAGGTAATATTTAATTATATAACCAGTCTTTAGTGTGCGGGACGCTAAACGTGCGTTAACGTTAGAATAGACATCTCACAATGTCCCCGGAATTACTATACATTTAAAGACATTTCTTTAAATATCAAAATACTTAACTTGCTTTGCAAAACCTAACTTCGCATGCTATGCTTTTATTGATGGAACGAAGACAATTAATCCGCGCATTACCTAGTTAAGTTAATAGAGAAAAAAAAACCAACTAACTTGTAACAGCTCTGTAATATTTACGGTTTTCTTCTTTTACATTGTACGTGTTTTTATCAATCGTACGCAAATCGAAACACAGAAAGAAAAAGAAAAAAAAACCCGAGACAACACGAAACACTTAAATGCATGAAAAACGGAGAGAGGTGTTTATATCATATGACTGTGTGTGCAAGAGAAAATGTTACATATTGTACAGTTTTTTATCGATTGTTAAAGAACAAAATATTAACGCAAAAGACTAGAAACGCGGATATATTCTTAAGAGAATCGGCAATATTTACATCGGTTACTTTATAATGTTTTTTATCATATTAAAAGGGAAGAAATAAATAGAATGGAGTCTTGCGAATATATAAAATCGAAATTGATACAATAATTGATCTGGCCTGTGTGTATAGATATAGATATATAGATAATTCAAGAAGCAGGTAAATATAATATTTACCCTGCCACATCTGGATCATGCAATAAATTTAAAATAAATTTGAAATTATATATCAATACAATAATCGAAACGACTCAAAACGACACGATACATTTTTGAGAAACAGTTTACATTACGATGTATACATCTACGTGTATGTATATATATGATGTGTATGTTTGATTTTCACTGAACTCTATCACAGTGTCATCTAAGAAATTGTTTGTCCCAACAGGAACAAAATCTAATGTTTTTCTTTCATTTCTGACGTTACACAAGTTCTAGATAACCAACATAGCTACAGCCGACTCTTAATGAGAATTCATTGGAGAATGATTGTATAACTTAGAAGAAGCCCACGATGTTCGAGACATTCTTTCGCTCTCCCCGTTTCTCAAATTCGTCATTATCGTAGGCAAACCTGATCTCTCTAACGGTCTCTAGCGGATATTGGATTTTTCAAACACGTCTAATATTATTTTACAAGAAACGAAGGGCACTTCGTTCCACTAAACAAAGATGACCGATTGTCAAAAATTTCGCAGGTCTTTCAATATTGAACATAGCGCCTTCTTAGAAGGATTACTTAGTTAATATTGTGAAGTTATCGGGCCCCCCAAAAAAAAGGGAACGTGCGACTCAAAACGGTAAGATAAATATAGGAAAAAAAGAAGTTCCGGAAAAAAAAAACAGTAATAAAAAAGGAGAACAATAACAACCCTGAGAGCAAGCCGTAGTTCGCGCAACTGCGCGAATGAGGCAGGTAATAAGAACGGCTAGAATCAAAGTATCTTTCCCTATATACTACGTATTACGTTAATTAGATGCGTCTCGTCTCTGTATTTGAAAATACTAATAATATAGCGTCAAATATAAATATATTATCTGTTATTATTAGTGTATAATCATCAATTATATTCGAATAGTTCCGCTAGCTTCCGTCCTGCCTTTGTTTTGTTTTTTCTTCCTCTTTTTTTTTTCTTCCTTCTATCTTTCCTTTTTTTCTCTTTTGCTTAATTCCGTTACTAGCACTCCGCTCGCGCGCATACCTCAAACTACATCACCGTCGTAGTCTAAAATATATGTATATACACAGTTGCGGCAAAGGCAGCTGTGGCGACACAATGGGCTACCTGTTTTATTCAGTTCTCTTTTTCTTCTCACTTCCCCGTTTTTTTTTCCGCAATATTCGAGCGTAACAACCCGGCCACCACATACACCGCGCGAACTACTACTACGCGACGCGAGTGAAATCCTATCGGGCAATATTGACCGAGCGATGACATCGCCAGCCCTTTCTTTTCTCGCGCTCAAGATTCTCATTAGGGACAGATATCGCACGCCAAATCAATCGTACAAAAAAGGAAGCGATGAGCGAAACAATAGCAAACACGATTCGCTTAAACTTTCAAGATCAACACGAAACGTACAACACAACACAAAGGCGACCAACTAACGAGCTCGATCAATTAACGCGCGCGTGTGTGTGTGTGTGTGTGTGCGCGTCCAATCGATTGCTCGATCCGGCTCTCCAGCTAAATTACCTTTTCGTTTCATTATACGCTAATAAATGTGGTTACCTCAAAAGAGTTTACGCCAGTCGCATTAATTAATGTCTCGTTCATTATTTTCGCCAGTCCGATTGAAATTTACAACATCCTTTCTCCGCGACATCGTCGTTGGTGAAAAGAAAATTATTATCAAATTTCTAACAAACAAAATGCAAAGCGTATGCCTCTAAATTCGAAACGTTGACGTGTTAAACAGTAAAAGAAAAAAAAAATCGGCTTACTCTACACATCTGAATGCAATGTGACTCGACTTTATTGTCAGAATATATAATAATTGATGACATAAACGGGAAACAAACAACAGAAAATAAAAGAAAACGAGAAATATAGACTCGTGTTACACTTAAAATACAATGAAGCCTTACGCTGTCGTTCGATGGACAAGAAAAAGAACCTGGGCAATGGTAAATTACGTTATATGAGATCACATTTACAACACTTAACGAAATTGTTGGATTCGTATAACTGTAATCTATTAATTATATTTTTATCTGGTAAAGTTTTAATTACATTATTATAATACTCGCAATCCTGATTGAAAAAGTAATAAGACACAACGCGATCCACTCGATAATAAACGTGAGCATTGGGGAGCACTCTTCCGAAATATTCTTTGTTTAGATCTATGGTAAATCCTACAGAGTAAATATAATTAAGTCATATATTTAATCAGGTAGAGTTTTCAGATCGATGTCCCCCATCGAGATATCCACACGATTACAAAACCCCTCCCTCCACCTTATCTATCAATGATTTTTTGTCTCGTTCTAACGAGAGAGCTAAAATTTAAACACTTATAAGCATCATCATACAATATTTGTAATCCTTGTAGACAATAATAATAATAGTGTAATAGTAGTGCATTCCTGGTAATTGCAGTAGTAGCAATAGTAAATAGTGATAAGTAGTAATATAGTAATAATAGTTATACAATAGGAATAATAATATATGTATAGAAGTAATGATAATAGTAACAATAATAATTGTATAGTCTTAGACACATGCCTAATAATAACTATCATAAATTCGAGGTAAAAAATAAATCAGTTTTCACATCTGGTTCCACTGTATGGTCGAATGGAAAAACGACCATTAAGTTCTTATGGTACAATTTATAAAAATCCATGATTGCTTTATTTTCCTGCTTATCCCCTTCCTTTTGTATATAGATATTGTCTTCAAATCAGTGGAAGTAGAAAAGTACAGTACAATAGCTAAACTAGACTCAAGAAAAGTCGCAATCAAAACAAGACAAAAAAAGAATAGAAGAACAAGAGGAACTGAGAGAAATACGTATTAAGGTATTACTAGTGATATGACATGAAAGTAAAAAAGGGACGCTCGCAAAAACCACATCCTGCTACCCACAAATTTATAGATATACATATACCATATTAAAATGATCTATATATATGTATATATTTTACAATCTCTCTCTTCCTCCCTCCCTCTCTCTCTCTCTCTCTCTCTCTCTCTATTTTCTTTCTGTAGTTACTGTATCGATAGGTCAGCCTATGATCATCTTACTTAATTACTGCATTAATTATACTCGTTATCTTTTCTTTTGTTTTTTTGTCTTCTTCAATTATCCAGTATAATAACTATTTAATAAATACAAGATCGTGGAGGGACGAGTGCCTCGAATGTATACAAGTCACTCGTTGACTTTCGGAGACCATAGTTTAATATTTTCTCTGGTTTATCGTCTCTGTTACCGAAACGCCTGCTACCGGTAGGAGGTGAACAAGCATCGAAGCTTATGCCAAAGGCACCCCCTGAGAAGAACTTCTCAAACGAGATCTTATTCACCTCCGTGTAAATGCCATTAACGATAATGATTAGCATTTCTCTGACTCTTTACACTCGCTTTTTACTTATTTTACCTCACTTATCAATCGCGCTCATTGTCTATTATTCTTATAATACTTATGTATGTCGCGCTTTCTGCCCTCTATCCCAGTGCCATACAAACTTCGCGCTTGCGCCATGTGGGTGTGTATCCTAATTCTGTCTTGCGCTTCCGATCATGCTTGATTTTTCGTATATTTTACTTGGAAAATTTATTCTTTGCTTTCTTCTTTAATTCCAGTAATGTGACTGATCATGGGCCGTTCACGCGAGCGATCAATAAGGAAATCAATATCTCGAAAGAACCACTTTTATTTTTTACTTGTTTTTTCTCTTTCTTTCTTTTTCTTTCTTTGCAATTTGATATATTATTGAGAAAAAAAAAAGGAGGGGGGAAAAAAAAGATATCGGTATAGAACTGGCAGATACGACCGCTCGCGGACGACATGCTGGCTTGAACAAGAGACATTCTTTGCGGTTGATTTCGCTTACAAATCTTGCCTATAGCGAGCGTTTTGCTGCAGAAGAAGGTACTCCAATCGCGGCTTCTACAAAAATACGTTACGTAGCGCAGAATTCCATTTTTTTAGATAGCATTTCCTGACGCACGGTGAGTGACAAGAAGCAACAAGGAATGTCTCGTTTCTTAGCGCAGGCTCACGATCGACGTACAGTTTGCAATTGTTCTGAATAAGAGATAACCCACGAGCAAGGCCAAGCCATTCAGCGCATCTCTCCACCACGGCTCAATTAAAATGGTCATGAGGTGGGCCACTCTTTGAAATCAAAGCCTTGTTGGCCAGGTTTAGGGGTGCTGGCGGCATACCCACCTTGATTACTTTCTCCTCCTTGATACGAACGCTGAGGATAAGTGGTGTCGGCATAATTACTGTATGCGGAATACCCAGTGTAATCTGGAGTCTTGGCCGAACTGCTGCTTGACCCGGGTGCACCTGAGCCAGTGTTCTGTCGCGAGTACATGTCACCTGAAACATTCGTCCGTAACACCAAATCACCCACATCACGCTTACCCGATCGTTAACAGCGCTTGTCGCTACGGATAAACATATCGACAAAGTAAAGTATATTAAACAACAAGATATTTTGTAGTGTTGTACAAGTAATTGTGCAACAGTACAAATAATGTGTACCTCAGAGTGCTCGAGAGATTACTCAAGATAATTACCGTTTTCTTATGATTAATTTGGAAAAAAAAAACGGCTCGACGAAAAGAAGCAGTCAAGTCGCGCGACAAGAGATGTCAGTACACACACACACGCACATATATACACACACTCTCTCTCTTTCTCTCTCTCTTTTTCTCTCTAAAAAAATAATATTTACTATTCTCAAGTATTGTAAACAATCACAATTAAAACATCGGTATGTAAGAACAGAGTATCTCACCTAGTATCTAAAATTGTACAAGCTTATTTTTTACGGATTTTTCAACCAATTTCTAAGTTTTAATTAAATTAGTATTTATATACTGATTTGCATATCCAACTGATTTCTCTCGTATTTCGCCCGAACGACAATTCTCATATATAAGGAATTTAGATACCATGTGATATAATCAGCGCTGCCATCCAGTCATCGGAACAAAAAAAGTGAAATGGTGACTGCTTCTTGACAGAAAAAGTGACAAAAATAACTTCTTAGACATCAAAATAGTGATCATAAGTGACACTTTTTGTCAAATTCTGAAAGTGACCAAGGTCGTTTAAGCAAAAGAGTAACATATCGTCCCAGGTACATAACAGTTCATAACAAGGAAAACCAATGAACGAAACAAGCGCAGACGTTCATACAACGGACCGATATCCAGTGAGCAAGCGGCAATCGGCAGCGAAGACGGCAAAAATATATGTGAAACGCCTATATTTTATAAATCTTACGGCAGCTTAAAAAAACTGACTAAAGTAACCTATTTTGGATGATGGTGAATTTTTTAGTGACTTAAGAAAAAATGACAAAAAGTGACTCAAGTGACTAGATGACAGCGCTGGATATAATAAAACAATGATACATGTAGGAGACTAAGATACATTTATGCATATGTGTTCACAACTCGTCAATTAAGAAAAATGGCTTGAATAACGAAATTGTAGAGACACTCACATTAGTATGCAAATAACTGCCATTTCCACACAACAAAGGATTTATATTGATTAAATATCTCTCTGTTCTCTCTATTCTTCTAATGAAACGAACTGTGATCAATAAAAAAAGAATCACTAGGTGAACATACACGTATTACACACAACAAGCAAAGATATTAAAAATATTATAACAATCTCGGAATCTTAGAGACGAATTGATGTCAGTTATAACAACTTTTCTCCCCTCATTTTCTATGAAATTATTGAGCTTGCTGCAAAGCAACAACTCCTCTCATAATTAATTACTAATAACAGATTGTATTTTCCATACAGACGACATTAATTCGTCATTATTTCAAGTAGACGACATAAGGAATGAAAGGAGGGAGAGTAGGATCGTATTGTTCTATATATTATCGCTAATCATTGAATACTCTAATTCTTTTCTTCCTTTTTCTTGCTTTAATTTTAAGCATTTGTAATTATTATTATTGTTTTATAATATACTCGAATCTTAGGGAAAATATTTTATCTTTTGAGAACTTTGTTTTAAATCCATTATAGTTATTAACAGTGTACTGAACTTGTAATTATGGATATGGTTCAATACTCCATAACAAATGTGTAGTGGCTAAATAATATAATAGGGGGCACAGCTAACATACAATACCAGTAGAAAGAAAATACTATAGATAAAGAACAGAACTTGTATTTTAAAATTTACGATATTTTCTGCATTGCAACAACACAGAAGTGTTCGTCATCAATAAAAGGATAGATATGAAAAATGTATATAAGTGTTACGATATTTAAAGGAAAATGTTACGGAAGTTGCAAAACTATGTTTAAAAGCCTCGACTTAGCTAAATATACTAAGCAATAATAAAGTAATGATAAAAATAAAATAATTTCCTATTCATAAATATTTTTCGAAATATATTAAAAGAGAAAACATGTATATAAGAGTGCGACATTTCATTTGCTAGATCTAGAAAATACATATAGCGAGAATTTAGTTCCTTTTAACATATCCCTTGCAATATCAAATGCAGTTTTAAATTATATCGTTGAACGGTACATGCTTCCGAGAACCTACACGTACTATAAGCGTGAAAACGCGAGAAAAAAAGAAGATAAAATGACAGAATATAATAAAACATTTAGAAAGGAGAGGAATAAACACCGGGATATCTAGAGGATTCCTGGATGAAAAGAAAATATCAATTTATTATCAGGGCTCAGAAATTACTGTTGCTAATACTTAAGGCGTGATCCATAAAGCCATCTCGCGTATAAAATATTACAGAATAAACACGATGGAAATAATGGCGAGTAGCAGTAGTGCATCAAGCATATATAGCAAGCATACAACATTGCTTTCGATCCGAAGATTGAAAACGAGTGCGTCGTTACACCCACGTTATCCCTGCTCAATCGAGTTGCGAGCAGAGGCCAGTTTCTACGCTGTTCGCCATTCCGTTTACCTCACAGACGGTTAAATTAAATCAAATACGTTAACTTCCGAGCCCTATTTCACTATTCGACGTTACGGATCTATATGATGCAAATCCTATTCTACTTCCTTCAACCTCTACATTAGCTATTACTGCACAATGGATTAAACATAATGAATTTTCAGTATATTAGTCACCCAAAACAATATCTGTTAAAAATACGATATATCAATGCGACTTTTACCATTAAATAATCGAGGGCCACATGCTTATGTTTCGTACTGAAGCAATTAACACATCTCTCAATTTCTGTTCGTGTGCGCAATAATTGCTAAAATCAACGCATAAAAATTACAAAAATATTAATGCACATGACTTAGTGTCATACAGATCTCCCCGTCCGATTTTGCTTAAAAGAAAAGAAAAAGAAAAAAAAAGGGGGTGGGGGGAAGAATCCTTACGAAGAATCAGGAAGAAACTTAATAGACGAGGAAAAAAAAAACTAGTTAGTGAAAGCCATTGTGAGAACTGAAGGAAGTCTATCGCATCAGAAACAAAGAAACAGCGACAAACATTACATGTATATGTCTATAATCTTTTTTTTAAGCATTAATATTTTTCACCGAATATATATGAAAGAAGTACTCTATATATAAAGTTATATCGATGCAAAGTAGATCAAGTTGCTTTAGCTAGACTCGGTTAGGTCAAAATGGAGCTATCCAATGTCAAAGGGTGGAAAGAGGAGAGTTTGTTTGACTGAGCTTGAAGACTCACCCTGCGGGCCAGAGGGGTTCGAGTTGGAGTTGGGCTGCGAGGAGTTGGGCTGAGGGGGCTGGGGTGGGGGCTGGGTCCCAGGAGGGGGCCCATTCTGTGGCATGTTCCAGGAGCTCCAGGAGCCCCCAGGCCCGCCCCCCGCAGCCCCGCCAGTACCCGCCGTGGGCCCGTAGCCCCCTGAAGCGGCCGCCGCCGGCCCACCTGCGATCATCAACCACACAAAACACGTGTCACCGACCGCCGTCACACCTCACCTTTTCTCTTATTCTCTCTTTAATTTATATTATTATTTTTTTTATCGTCTTTTTCTCTTACTTGTTAAGAATATATTAAGGTGTCTCTAATATTTAAATACGCATTTCAGCACCATTTTCGAGAATGCGTCGCTCTTCTCGACGATTTAAACGTTCATGCTTGGTTCTCTTAATAAATAGCAAGGAAGAAGAAGAAGAAGAAGAAATAGATAAAGAAGACAATAGAGAGGATAGATATGTGATGATAATAGTGATCAGGTGCAAAATTTGCTCTGACAAAGAATATGCGCTAAACCTGTATGCAATTTCGTAATGTGTGATGTATCCTGATTATCATGAAATGTATGCATATTGATAATTGTCGTTAACAATGTTAGTATCCACTATTCAAGCATATCATTGTACCATCAGAACTTAACTTGTGGCTTTAGTCTGCGTATTTAGTGTGTTATAAACAAATAAAGTGAGTAGTTTTTAACGAATGTAGGTAGAGATGTGAACTTCGATACGGTGAAGAGGATCGCTGGCTTAAACTTGAAGAGAATCAAGCATAAACTCCATAGATAAGATTATGAGGTCTAACATCTCGGATATGTATATCTGTGAAATGTGTATTATGTCAATCCAGACCAATCGTTAAGATCAAATCCGCAATGTTTGAGATACTTAATCAATGAAGTTAATTATTCTGTAGTTTCACGTCCAGGCATTACATTCTTTATAGTTCTTATGTAAGAATACAATGTAAAATACATACATATCATCACAAATCATTGCTATATCGATGTCGCATACAAAGCTGAAAAGGTTATACCTGAAAAATTATTAAAAAAAAAAAAAAAACGAGATCATTTCAAATTCTATTGAACATCTTTTGTGCTTAAAAAAAATTAAATTATCTTCAATAGTTACAAATTATATATTTCGTTATATAAAGTCAATAAGTTTGACACATGCATGCAAGTCTGGACTGACATAATTACCTTTCTATTTGTTTTTTTCAACAGAACATTCTATTGTATTTTCTTTCTATATTATTAACCTCCAGGGGGCGTCGCAAAAGTTAATCGCATTATATATTGCGATTTGTAGATATCTCATGTTCTTATCTTTTTCTTTCTTCTTCTAACCTCTCCAAGCAGGATGGAAGGGGAGGGGAACAGGATCAAAAGTTATGTTAATAATTATATAGTTATGATATCGTACCGATCTGTACCACATTATCGTTACTCGTAATATACCTAAAGTATAAATGAAGTTGATATTTGATGTAAGGTTAACTCGATTGAATTCTTGATTCAAGCTAAAAACTTTTCGACATCTTGCGTAGAAATTAAGCTGCGCATATGTCATAGCTGTTAATCTTTTTGCAGAACATTGTACTCTCTGCGAATATAAAAATAATATCAACCTCGTTTATCGTCATGTACCACATAATAGTAAGATGTATCAAGTTATCTGTCAATGATTATTTGGAATTTCGGTGTTGATATCTTTTCAGATTTTGTATAGTTTTAAACGTTAACTTTGACATAAACAAAAGTTTGGTAATTACGTAAGTTGACCAATTGAAGTATTATCATTAATCGGATGTTAGCGTCTTGAACGCTATCAATATAGCGACCTTTCCGACCGAAAAACTTTCGAATAGGCTTTTTGTATGCCGACTAATTGTAGACGTTCGATGATAAAAGTGGGGCATTTCTTTTCTTTTTCTTTTCTCTCAAGATTCCCACCATCTCCGTTAGAAGTCATAATAACCGAATGTTAAGCGCAAGAGTAAAGAACAGAAGAGGAAATGTCTCGTTGTGTGTGTTCGGAATTGTATATGAAACTCACCGTAACTCCCATAGCCTTGAGTAGCTGCCGCGGGCTGAACGTTGTAGCTACTTCCCCACTGATGCGGCGGAGGCGGGGGTATCTGCTGCTGTTGCGGAGGTCCCGGTGGTGCTCCCCAGCCCTGAGTGTTGTACTGAGTGCTGTATCCAGCGTATCCACCGGTTTGTGGGCTGGTTCCCCAACCCTGATATTGCTGCATCATATTCCCTGGCGGGCCCATCGGACCTCCCATCATCGGTCCACCCATTTGCCCGTTCGGCCCACCCATCGGTCCCATGTTCCCCGCCATACCCATTGGCGGGCCACCCTGTTGAGGCGGACCCCATTGACCCTGATGACTATCATTCATCTTGCTTGAGGAATCTCTCGGCTCTGCACGTTTGATCTCAACCTGAAAAAAGCAAATACCACAAACGTATAGTTGTGAGGAACTTTTCTTCTACCATCGCACAGAGTTTGATAAAGCTTCAGATCGAAAAAAAAAAAAGCGTAGAATCATACGCTACCATTTATAATTAGCTTTACAAATTACTGTATATTTTAAGCTAACAAGTGGTTATCGTGTTAATTAAATTTACATTCTATATTCACGCTTGTATGTTGCCTTACACTTATAAAAGTATCATCTTTTTATTATTTCTAATTATAAGATAGAAAGTTATCACTTGGGTATCGTGTTTATATCGTATGCTAAAAACCTTTCTAATTGAGTAGTATTAAGCGATAAATGAAAAATATTTAAAACATTTATATGTTATATAAGTGCGTATGTGTATATATAAAACATAAATATTAAAGAATTGTTTCATTTATCACTTAATGCTGCCCAAATTATAAAATTAATTTAATTCTCTCCTTTCAATAAGTATACGCTATATATGAATAAATAATTTACGACTAGAATCCCTATATAGCAATATATTAACGATACACGTATGTATATATATACATATACTTATTTCCTATTTGCTGTAAAAAATCATGTTCTAATTAGTAACGTAGTTTTTTTTTAATCATGTATTGATATGCTATACCTGTTTTCCATTCAGGTTGACGAAATGCTCTGCAACGCATCTGTCCACTGCTTCCTCATCCTCAAAGCTTAGAAATCCAAATCCTGCCGTCCAAACGTGAGAGAGTATAATCAACAAAATGCTCGCCGAAATAATGCGAGAGAACGATTCCTTTACGATACAGTGTGTAAAATGTGCGAACACACATTCAAAAAAGATATACAAGTTCCCATCGTCTGGTCTTACAATATATGTACTATTTATTAAATAATAAATTATTTCATTTATATCACTTAATAGAATAGACTAAAACCGCTTTTTATAATTGCGCAATATAAATTTTTCAATAATCTCAGTTACACAACAGTCTCAATGTTTATCGCTCCTACATGTAATTAGTCCATAAAATGAGCAGTTTATTACAACAAACAAAACATGAACATCAACTTCACTTGAAGTCCAGCAAACAGCTGTAAAATATTTCAAAATAATTGGGAAATGCTTATATCTAGCTTGACCTGCCAACAAGTGTGTTAGTCATCTTATCAGTAAGTATAATGATAATTTTTAGCCGAGTTAGTAAAAATAGTAAATTTATAATAATAAATTTGATCGTTTAATTCAACGTTTCCAATATAAATCTTGGATAAAAATATATTTAGTAGCTAACGAACTTAAGCTACGTGTCACTTACAATAGCATAGAGTCTGGAAAAACCTTACACTTAATAAGAACTTAACGCAAGACATTATATTTATACAATGCATCCGTTTAACTTTACATAAAGTATCGCAACATGTATTATAACATGTATTATAATATAATCGCGAGAAAGGAGCAAGATGTGTGAGTATGTGTGTGTGTGTGTGTGTGTTACAAAGAATATAAGTCAGAATCGACTACCGTAATAATATAATGTATAATACCAGGTAAATTCAAATTTTATCGTTTAATCTTACATTAACCCTTTGCACTCGAGGGCTCCGGAGCGGAGCCATTTAAAATTTGTCTTCAAAGTCGAGGGCTCCGCTATGGAAACAATGCAAATAACTTTCAGTTCATAACATAAGGACAAAGACAAATTGTAAAAATTATTGTGTATAGGATATTCCGCTCTTGCTATTTGCATTGTCTCCATAGCGGAGCCCTCGAGTTTGAAGACAAATTTTAAATGACTCCGCTCCGGAGCCCTCGAGTGCAAAGGGTTAAGTGATAAAGTACTATGTATTTACATAAAAAATATAAGAATAATTAAATAAAGAAGCTATTAACTATAATTAAAAACTCTTATTAACTATGGCCAATAATAGGAACATAGAAATGTTAAAAACCAACACAGGGGCAAAGAAATTTTTAACTAATAAATTTTTACGTGAAGAAATGACTCAAAAATAATATCTTTAAGTATATTTACTGTTTTTTTTACATCTTTTATTGACTCTAATACCACCACTTTATCGCAAACTGGTTATTAGTATGTTCAAATCTGAATCTTTTATCCAATGCTGGCTTTTGTAAAATTATATTTAGTATCAAGTAATTTTTCTATCGATTTATAAATTTTTTCTATCAAAATGTTTTCTATTCATACGTGATCATTCTGTGTTTGCAATAATATTTTTGGATATTTTTGTAATTAATATTATTTTGTGCGAATTTTATTTTACATTATTTAATAAGAGAAAGTTTATATAATACTCCAAAAATTTTGATCATAAATTCTGATAACAATATATTGGTGAAGATTATAAAGATAACTTATTCTAAATATGTTTATCTTTTTGTTATAATATTAATGGTTTTCACAATTTATTTTCCCTTCAAAGCAAATATATCATTGTGTGTGTGTGTGTGTGTGTGTGTGTGTGTGTGTGTGTGTGTGTGTGTGTGATGCGCGCGCGCGCGCGTGTGTAATAAATACAGTAATGATATGGACTTAGTGCATATTTATAATTTTAACAATAAAAACTACATGGCAATGATAGCGAAACTATTGTAAAAAGAAAAAAATGTGAGAACCATTAGAAATAGTGCTAGTGAATGGATCATGATATGAACGACAACTTGTACTCACCTCTTGATTTCTTTTTTTCCTGGTCATACATTATCACCACTTCCATAACTTTGCCAAAGCGAGTAAAGTAAGACCGCAAGTCAGTCTCCGTCACATTACTTGGCAAACCACCAAGAAAAACTTTTGGAAAGCCACCACTACGTTTCGGTTTCTGAAGAGTGCGTGGGTTACAGGGTTTCGGATCAATCTATAACATAAATCATTGACAAACTATATTTTAAGCATCTTCTTTCTTAAAGCATTTGTGATTAGGCAACTACAGAATTTTGTTAAATGTATTTGTTTACAATTTATACATTATTTGTATATATGTTTACATTTGTATATATGTTTACAAATAATGTATAAATTGTAAACAAATACATTTAACAAAATTCTGTAGTTGCCTAATCACAAATGTTTTAAGAAAGAAGTTGCTTATAATATGGTTTGTCAATGATTTATGTAAACATACCGTACGACCATCAAGTTGATGAGGACCATTTTGTAGAACCAAAGAAACGTTTGCTGGATCACTAAATGTTACAAATCCAAACCCACGACTGCGTCCGGATTCGCTATTTTTCATAACCACACAATCAATTACTTCACCATATCGGCCGAAGTAACGTTGTAAATTTTCTTGGGTTGTTTCCCACGATAGCCCACCGACAAACAATTTTCTGGAATACAGAAAGAAAAAAAAATATTTTCAATATCATTATGTCAAATATCACTATTTATTTGTTGTATATATTCCGAACAAAAGTATAAAATGAGTAAAATTTGAAGAAAATATAAAATATACTATAAAATCAATATCAATGAATATATACTTTGGTGTAATTGAAATTATGCTGTAGATAAAATAATATAAATTTATCTGTCTTTTTATCTTCAAGGGAAAAATTTTATATAACATACTACATCAAAGAACATGTATCATACAGAATTCTCATTTTTGAATATGTGTGTGTGTGTGTGTGTGTGTGTGTGTGTGTGTGTGTGCGCGCGCGCGCGCGCGCGCGCGCGCGTGCGTGCGTGCGCCTTGTAAGATAGAAAAAAAATTTTATAGAGAAAATCTTGTTAAAATAAAATCTTGAGAAAAACTTGTTAAATATTATTCAAAAATAAAGCATTAACTACATACAATCTATATTGAAATATTTTTATATATGTATCTCTGGATAAATACAACAATTTAAGATTTCAATTAAAGCATTTACAGGACAATAAACAGATAATTACATTATGTGGACATATATGTGTGTGTATTTATTTATATTTATATATATGTATATATTTATATTTATACTTGTACACATGATTTATTTCTTTTAAAAGTATATACCTGGAATCTACTATATGCGAATATATACAAAGGTTTTAACATATAGAATAATTTGTAACTCCAAATCTCATTAATTTTTCTTCGAAAATGTAATAAATCCACATTATGAAATTAATGATGTGTGCCCATGCCAATAGATATAATCTAAATTAAAATTCTATGATAATAAATAAAAATTAGAAGTATACAACTTTATATTCACATTCTTAGCAAAAATATTTTATCAAATATTTCAAATATTCAACTCTCGAAATACAAGAGGTAGCCTATATACATACATATATATATATATATATATA